TTTTCTCTCTCTCTCTGCCATTGTCTTCTTTGTTCATAATTGATTATATCCTCTACTTACCTTTAAATTAGTCTGCCCCCAGGATGGAGGGCTCCAAGGAGACTTGCAGGAGAACTTCAGTTTCGAGTAGCTGCAAGCAATTTGTGACCAAGAACCAGTGACTTGTCTTGGCTTTACCTACAGCGACATTCGTAGAGGAACTCAACAGTGGCTCACAGCAAGATAATATATGATGAGACAGAGATGTGATCATTTTAATCACTATCAAGTCAAAAGTCATTTCTCAGCTGGCGAATCTGAAATGATTTTATTTTCATTCATTCATTCATTCATTTGTTTATTTATCGTTTTGCATTTTTTCCGTTCTCTTGATATGAGGGTCTGTTCTCTCTAAGCTATAAAGTATTAACTCTTGTAATACCTTAAAGATAACATGCATTTACTAGCATCATTGACAGCACAGAGGATGATGCAGAATGCTAAAAGAAACCAGCTCTTATTGAGATGTTTAGAAGTGCTAATTAATGCGGGTAGATCAATCGTTTCAAGCCCTTAAACTTCAGGTTGTACATTTTAGCAAACACTGTACGAGACCTTGTGTGCTAAGACCCGGAACCAGCCAAACATCGGGACTTTAGAGAAAAACATTTGAAAGTGATGAAACACACAGGAGGCTCCGTTAGCCTGTGCTTAAAAATAACACCGATCGGTCATTTGTTCATTGCAAAGCACCTCCAGATATGTAATTCACACAACACAGCTGAAGCAAAATAAAAAGAACAAATACACAGTCCATCCAGATTTTTATGCAGTACAGGGTACTGGGTGCGGGGAGGAGGAGGGCATGCCAGATCACTGCAGGGCACACACACACGTTATAGGCAATTTAGTGACACAAGTTCACGTAAGTGCATGTTTTTGAATTGTAGGAGGAAACCAGGGTGCCTGGAGGAAATGCACAGAGCAGGCGGAGAACATGCATGGCAGGGGGGAACATTCAAACCACACGCACACAGCACAGGGAGAATATACAAACTGCAAACACATGCAGCAGGGGCAGAACATGCAAACCGCACACACATGGCAGGGGGGGGGGGACATGCAAACCCCAGACCAACAACAGGGACAGTATAGCAGGGGGAGAACATGCAAACATGCAGAGGGAGAACATGCAAACCGCACACATGCAGCAGGGCGATAACATGCAAACCGCACACATACAGCGGGGGGAGAACATGCAAACTGCACATACAGCAGGGGGAGAACATGCAAACTGCACATACAGCAGGGGGAGAACATGCAAACTGCACATACAGCAGGGGGAGAACATGCACACTGCAAACATGCAGTGGGAGAACATGCAAATCAATCACACACATGCAGCAGGGCGATAACATGCAAACCACACACATGTAGCAGGGGGAAAACATGCAAACTGCACACACAGCAGGGGGAAAACATGCACACTGCAAACATGCAGTTGGAGAACATACAAACCACACACATGTAGCAGGGGGGTAACTTGCAAACTGCACGTATCCTCATCCAGCAGGGGGAGAACATGCAAACTGCAAACATGCAGTGGGAGAACATGCAAACCGCACACACACAGCAGGAGGAGGACATGCAAACCGCAAACATGCAGTGGGAGAACATGCAAACCGCACACACAGCAGGAGGAAGACATGCAAACCACACACACACAGCAGGGGAAGGATTCAAACCACACACAAATGGTAGGGGAAAGATTCAAACTGCCAGCGGCAGAGGTGTGAGGCCACAAAGCTACCCACTGATTAACGGTGCCACATAGAAATGCACTGCTGCTGTTAATGATATCATCTTAAAAAATCTTGAAATGTTGAATCAATTTTAAGAATAACAGTTTTACTACAGTGTCTCTTGGGAGAACCAACTATTTTACTCCTATTTGTGAACTAATTTTATGTGTCAAGTAGTTTTTGTCCAAAATTTTAAGCAGAATTTCAACAAAACTAGCCCACACCTCATAAACAATAAAGTTTGTCTAAATTAAAGCATGATTTGGTCTCGCTTTATGAATTAGTTAAATAAAATCGATCTTTTTTCAAGAATCCTGGTATTTTTTCTATTTTCTACTGGTAACAATGAGCAGGTAACAGAAATAGCATGGTTGCTGGTGATGATAGATCGCAACAGGCTGCCTCTGAAAGCCTATATGCATAAAACATGCAGCCATGACGTAGTATCAGCATGAGAAATCAATACTGATAGAGATCCTGTATGGACAGGAACAGTACCTTCTGGACTCCCACAAACCGCCAGGCCGAGAGCAGCCTCTGGGGCGGCGCTGTCAATCAAAGCTAGGCCTTTTGACTAAGCTCCCTTTCATCAGACAGGGTCAGAGGCCCCAGAGCTCTCCTTTCTGCATCTGTTCTATACTCAGACAGGGAGGTAAACACAGTAAACCTTGTTACCAAAGCCTGGCTATGTACCTTAAGATCTCCGCACAGGCAACGCTGTAGACGTACCTGCAGGTCAGCCTGCCCTCCCCGGCCCCCGTGATGGACATCCTCTCTCACGCCGCTGTGCCGGAGGGTCACCTCACCTTTTAACCGCCACCGGCCTCGTGGTCGTGCCGTTCAGCACCCGGGGAGCCTATCGCCGTGGTTACACCTCAGCGGCAAATCTAAGGGGCCTCATCTCCGTGACACATGGATTCCCTCTACTTCCAGCAGAATTCCGGTTCACAGTTGCTTTTAAACAGGTTCTAGAGGACAGGCAAGATGGCCGATTTCTTTACATAGCAGTGGGTGTGGCAGCCCAGAATTCCAGGGCTACCAACTGTGGTCAGCTGGCTGGCGTGAGATTTTCAAAATAAGACAAGTTTGCATGCCAATCTATGTATGTAATAGTTTTATTGCCTTATAAATAGTCTGTAGGGTTTGCAAACTACCCAACGCTTTTGATGTCACTAAATTTTGGTTTATAATAGAATAATATAGATTTGCTGTAAGATTTCTTTCGTGTGAGAGTCTGAAAGCGTGTCACGCCAGATGCATGAGAATTGGCAACCCTGCAGTTCATATGGCCAGAAACCCATTTGAAAGCTACTGATACGAGCCATTGTTCACAAGTTGAATTTCGACCGAGATTATGGCATTGTCATCATATGCATAGGCCTGAGCAAGGCTAACAGGACTGGCCTTTACTGCACATTACCAAACACCCCCCCCCCCCACACACACACACACACACACACATAGGATAAACAGGGTCACTTGGGGAGGGTGGGGGGATGGCAGAGAGATTTACAGCCTCTGCTGTGTGCACATGACATGTGGTAAACATACCAGCGAGTGTGAAGTGTCAACTGTTTACACTGACAGCGGGGCTCTCGGGCTTTGAGTGTCCGCTAAGTGTCAGGCCCCCGACGGGAAGGGGGCCCCAGCCGTGTCAGGGCCTGTTTACACCGTCAGCGGTCACATCCGGTCACATCGCCGTGACAGCCAAGTCCTTAAATCATCCACCGCAACTCTCAATGCAAAAGCTCAATGACACCTCGTATCAAAGAGCATCACAACACATACCTCCCCAAAGGGCCGGGAAAGAGAGACACTCAGGGCCGCTCTATTCACCACGCCACCCCGACCTTCCACAAAGCACGCCGCACAATATATCGATGAAATTATTCTCTCTTCAGGCAAAACATAGAACCTATTTTGAAGGGTAAAAAAACACAGCTGATAAAAGGCGGTAGCGTGAGAAGTCATCATTCACGCTAATGAAAGAAAATAGTTATTTATTCCAAATAATACAAAGCTCTGCAGAGTATAGGCTGTCAACCACGGTAATGTGAAAGGGGTAAAGAAGTCACATTTTTTACATTGTACAAAAGAAACATGAAGGGTTTGGTACATATAATGGAATTTGCTTTTGTTATGAAAATGTTTACCTATTTCTGGAAAATAATTAGTCGCTAGAATTCCTGCTGTGATTCCCCAGTATTTCAAACCCTGTTTGCAATTTAAATGCAGTGATGTGGACCTCTGTGGATTATTTGCTCGTTTTCTCTCTGTACCAAAGTATAGGCTTTGTTTGAACTGATGTCCATTAGTTTGTCAGAATGCATACAAGCTTCATATTAACCGATGCTGAACTGACACTTCTTAATTTTCTCATTTCAAAACAGGAAAGCAGCAGCAATATTATAACACAATAATGGGTCACTGTTACAAAATGTAGCTCCTACTTGCTGATGTTGAGGTTTCCTTAATATTTGCATATTGCCCTTCATAATATACCCCATAAAGTGATAGATAGATAGATAGATAGATACTTTATTAAACCCAAAGCAAATTGCAGGTCAGTAGCTGAATATATACATTATGACTGTAAAAGGACATTTACACATTAGCAGACAGTAAAAAATAAGTAAGAAAATATGAGACAGTGTGTGTACTCCATGCATCTGTCACCCTCTGGCACGCCCCAAAGCAGCCAGTCACGTGACACACGCTTTGCTCAGCGAGGTCCTGCAGAGACTGCCCACCCGTGCACCCGAGCTCTCCCGGCAGTGTGATAAAGCAATCACAGCTGCCCTTGATTAGATAGCCATACGTGGGAGCGTGGAGTTCGCGTCTGCGGCTCAGGGAGTCCGTCACACTGCCCGGCCCCTGACCCACACCCACTCGCGTGCTCCAGAGCCGCACACCTGCTGGGCCGTTAACCTCGTTTAACACAGGAGTGCTTGCCGGCCCATTTCAGGCATGCATTCACATGTCACTCTACTTTATACTCATCTTCATATTTATCTAGCCAGAGTCACCAAAGCCACTCACAGCTTATATACTGAGCATCCAGATATCCTACGCAAAAGTTGAAGGTTAAACATTTTGTTTCAATGTTCAGTTGCGGCGCAGCATTTCCTGAGCACTTATCCAGGACACTGCTTGTTGATAAAAGTAAATCAGAGTCGCAAAGAAATGTCAGACAGATGAAGGAGAAATGGCATCTTTCTCTGACATTTTATTATATTTTTCCTTTGTAAAGATTAATTCAGGCATGCTTTCTTGTTTTGGTCTTGCCCGCTACATGCTCATATTGTGTCACACAGAGGGGTGGGGCTTACAGGGATCCGCCCCCTGCGTGTCCGTCCTGGGGAGGCTCTTGGGCAGCATGTGCTGTGCGCACTTGCACTCTCTTCCGACGGCTATTCTTGAGACTGTGCCATATTTCATAAGGAGGTCCATGCAAATCACAGAAAATGTTCATGCTATAGTGTTGATACTGGAGGGAAAGGCCAACTTATGAAACATGGTAGGAGCCTTAATTTTAGTAAGCAGTCCTTTGGGTATTGGGAATATCCAGACATACATTGTCTATACTTGCTTGTCCTATGCAAGGTTGTGGGGGTCCAGAGCCTATCCTGGAAGATACAGGCACAAGGCAGAGAACAACCCAGGATGAGGTGCCAACCCATGGCAGGGCACACATACATTTATAGGAAATATTCACACAAAAATTATGTATTTTTTAATGTTACTCTTCAGTTTGTCTCAGAGTAGGCGCCTAGAACTTATATCACACAGAGAAGAGGGATTTAAGGCAAAACTACATGCATAACAACAAGCTTACACTGCATATTCATTAAACAGACATGTCTGCGGCAAAGCCAGATTGTATTTTTTTGGGAATGACAGACACTAGAGCATGCCAGATCTGATTAGAGAGTTTTGGCTTAGGGTTGGGTGTGATAATGACTTTTACTCACATCTCAGCCGAATGGGGGCCTGCCTTTCCCCCACTTTCTGCCTCCCGTGCCGAAGACCAGAAAGCCAGTCGGTCTGTTACCAGTATCACTTAACAGAACTGTATGGGAAAAGCAGGGGTGGTAACCTGCGGGGGGAGGGTGGATTCCACAGGCTCATGGATTGCCCTCTATGGGTGAAACAACAGGAAGCCTTATCAGACGTCTGCGCAGAGCTGGCAGTGGGCCAGGGCCGGTATAGAGACTGGTCATGGAGGAGGTCTGCTGTGCTTGACACAGCAGTCTCTGGAGCTCCATCTGTGCCACATGAGGAAGATCACGCCCTACCAAAAGGCTTCAGATTATTTCTGGTTCTTGTTTCTTGTCGCCTAATCACCTAATATCACAGATTATGTCACCAAGTGGGATGTTCAATTATGGAAATGCTATATATATATATATATATATATATATATATATATATGTGTGTGTGTGTGTGTGTGTATGAAAAACAGAAATCAAAAAAGCATTTCGGTAGCTGGACTACCAAACTAGACTATACAGGTACGTCCAGAAAATGATCTTTAGGGTGTATGTCTTCTGAAACGGTAAGGACAATAATACATGAAGCACATGCGATTGCAGGCTCTGATCCGTTTAACACACTTTAGGTGTGAAATTCCAAAATGTATGTACTCCCTACCATAATTTCAGACCTCCTAGTAGGAGTATTTATATGTTTATATCGGGTTATACGCTGCATGCTTATGAAATGCCAGAAATCCAAAGTTCAATAGTATGCAATGAAAATTCAGCAGTATTTTATTTAGAACGACTTCATGCAGGAGAGCCCCCAGACGATGGTCGTATTGCTTTCAGTGTCCAAGCGCCACCTTCAGTCCGGTGATTACAGTCCCGGTTTGCAAACGCTGCGGCTATTCTTACAAGAAATTTCGCTACTCCGCCAAGACATGCCGATGTTGTTTTTACCCGAATTGAAAATAAAACGAAATTGAAAAGCTTGTGTTTCTTGCGTGAAATGTCTAGCTGTCTCTTTTTTCACGAAGAAAGCTCTCAGTCCACGTACAGAAAAATGTGAATAGTCAACACGCCTGTCTCGCAGAGGCAGTGCAGACGATTTTGAAGCATGCTCCGCCCACAAATTTTATGGCCAATAAAACAGGTGACAGAAGGCGGACCGAAGGGGTAAGGGCGCCGGGTAGGCGGAGTGAGAAGATTTGATTGGGTAATTATAAATGACGCAATCAATATGAAAACGCTAATAACTTGTTAAGGAGGTAGTCTGCAACTTCGGAAAGAGTGCAGACTGAGCTTCAGCTACAGATAGTCCTGGTAGTGGAAAGTGTTGTTTTGTGGACTGTTAAAACCGCATAAGCGTCCGTGGAGCCTACAAGTGGGACCATGGTGCAACAAACAGAACATTGCGAGACGGAAGGTACCACGTCCAGGGAAACTACTGACAACGAAGAAAACGACCTGATGGCTTGCAGCTCTGTGTCGGTGAAAGCCGACTGGTGCAAAACTGCAACCGGTCACATCAAGCGACCGATGAATGCATTTATGGTTTGGTCTAAAATTGAGAGGAGAAAAATCATGGAACAGTCCCCAGACATGCATAATGCAGAAATCTCAAAAAGACTGGGAAAGCGCTGGAAAATGTTGAAGGATAGCGAAAAGATCCCTTTCATCAGGGAAGCCGAAAGGCTCCGGCTTAAACACATGGCTGATTATCCGGACTACAAGTATAGACCTAAGAAAAAACCAAAGCTCGATAGTTCGTCAAAATCAACATTGCCATCGCCAGAGAAATCGGGTAGCAAAACTGCCAAGACACCCGGTAAAAAATGTTCTAAGTTAAAGACCGGTAAGGCGGTTTCGCGACCATCTGCGGTCTACAGTTACCCTGAAAAGACTGAGAAGACTATTAAACGCGAACTGAGTGACGATGAAGATGATGAGGAATACGAAGATGATCTCCCCATCCGGATTAAACAGGAGGAAGATGAGGAACAGATAAGGCTATATAATGTGGCCAAAGTCCCCGCTAGTCCAACCTTGAGTTCTGCTGAGTCGGAGGGTGCGAGCATGTATGATGAAGTGAGAAACGCATCATCAACCAGACTTTTCTACAATTTCAAGAACATTACAAAGCAGGGCAGCACGTACACAGCTTCCGTCTCACCAGCTTCATCGTCTAGGTCTGTGTCTACCTCGTCCAGTGCCAGTGAAGACGTGGACGACCTGCTTGTGGACTTTAGTTTAAATTTCGCATCTAGTGCCCAAGGATCGGAGCTAGGGAACACAAATGCGGGCAATCTCTCGCTTTCCTTTGTGGATAAGGATCTAGACTCCTTCAGCGAGGGCAGCTTGGGCTCTCACTTTGAATTTCCCGACTATTGCACCCCCGAGCTTAGTGAAATGATTGCAGGGGACTGGCTAGAGGCGAACTTTTCTGACCTGGTGTTCACATACTAGTTTGTGGGGAAAGAGAAGAAATGGAAAAACCAGTAATAACTATAAGAGGAATAAGAATATGACCTATCCAGATTGTTCCAAGCTCTGCTTGCCTGTGGTTTATTTTTGGGTAGGAAAAGGAGGTGTGACGACTGAGAACTCCAGATGCAAAAGAAGGTTTTGTGGCAAGTCTGCTGATTTGTTTTAGCCGTCCGCTTTAACAGGGTTTTGTGGATTTTTTTTTCTGCGGGTCTGCAGTCAAAACTGTTCAGCTGCACTGGACCACAACGGGAAAACAAATCTGAACCTCTATGCATCCTAAACTCCTTTTTTTCCTAACTGCAGGGAGTTGGAGGACGTGAGACTGGAGTGATCTGTGGACTAACGCGTTTCAGGATATAATGAACTTTATAAGGGTTTTATGTAATTTCTATATGCCGCAAACCGTTTTGTTTTTGTACCCGGTTCAGTTTACCTCCTTGTCTGAGTAGAGGCTAAGCCGCTATGTTGTACAGCTATGGGGGGAACATTTTGATACATGACATACCTCATCTTTTTAAAAGAAAAGTGAAATATTTTCAGGCATATTTTTGTACAGTCTAAAAGGGAATGTTCTTATCGTGCTTTCAGTGAGTTTTCAGGCACTTCTTCTACCCTCTGGGTTACTTTTTTCCTTTTAGCATGCAAGATTCTCAGTTTTTTTTATTTTATTTTGTAACGATTTAACGTTAAATTAAAACTTGCATCTAAATGCCTTGTGTTTTTAAGATAGGGTTTGTACAGTTGTAGATCAGATTTGGTGCGTAAATGTAGGAAGGCGTAAATGGAATTGAGGATGTGATAGATTCCTCCGCTGGTACTAGTTAAGATTGTATGTACTGTAATATAGTAAAGTTAGCAGTCTATGTATATTAATGTGGATGGGTCCCAAATAGCAGGTGTAAAACTGGATTTTCTTTGTCCTTAATTTTTTAATGGCACATACTGATTTGTTTCCTATTTTGTGCAATATATTCAACACACCATCTGCATTTTGTAGCAAAAGACAAACCTTAAATGTCGTGATGCTGAAGTCTGTATCTTGACAAAAATGAATAAATCAGCTGGAACTGATGCAGTTACATTTGTTTTGTTGCGCTTTTAGGACTAACATGGAACTTTGCATGTAACTGCGTTTTTTTGCAGCCGCAACTTAAACCCATCCCCAGCATTTTTTAATGGATCGTTTATTTGTATGCCTGTATGTCAACGGTAAGTAATTTTCGTGCGCATTTAAAAAACATACGATGGCATATCACTGACGAGTTTTAGCGGTGTTTATTCCGTGCCAATTTTAGTTATTTATTGTTTATTTATTAACTCGGAAAACCAGAAGGATTGCACAAAAATCTGACTGCTCCTGCATACACCCTCACTCCGTTCTCCTTCATTCTGCTGGCCTGAGAGACGCTGCGCCTTTAAGAAATCGAATCTCGCGCCCATCTAAATGATGCAATGTGATTGGTGAAGATGTAAGAGCAAAACACCAGCATCATCCGGCCGTTTATTGATGTTTACCGTTAAAAGTGTGTGTGTGTCTGTGTGTGTGATTTAACAGTTATTAAATTAATTCCTGCGCTTTTAAACTTTGTTCTTCTTTTATAAGGTCGTTTTTCCCTTCGATCACTTACATTTCGAGCGGCAATACGCAAAAGGAATCTTCAGCTTCCGTTACCCTTTCATGGTTATTTGGTCATATGATCTCCAATCTTTGTGAGACAATTTACAAATTCCGGGCCATTGCATTTCAGCGATGGCTACACGTAGTGATGCAAATAACACAGTCACTCCCTATTCATCTGGACCACACTGGCTAGAAGCACAATCTAGTGATACATTGTGGCTACAATAGGGCATGGGGCCAACTGTGCCACTTTGGGAGTTTCACCCACTGAAACAATTTCTTATAATATTATTATTAACAATTTCATCTAATCTTTTCTTCAACTGGGTCATGCCAAAATGCAACTCTAGAGAGGAATGCGCACAGAAGACAAGCTGGTAATGTAGAGAATAGCTGTGGAGCAAATGAGCAGCAGCAATTAGACAGGATCAGACAATGTACACAAGAAGGGACATGTATGTAAAAACCGCAATGTATTGTATACAGACAACCAAATAGCAGCCAAACTCTAACACCTGGGATTGTACTGTACAAAGTGATAAGTGCTAGAATATGTAAACACAGGCCATGAGGTTAGGTGGTTCAGTGTGAGGAGACAGGGCATGTAGCAGCAATCCTAATGACAATAACAACAAAAATAAGCTGGGGCTGCCTCTACAGTCAGTGTATGTGTAAGTGTCCGCTGCTGATTGCTCTTGTAAAGTCTGCTGCAGGACCAAAGACGTACAGAACCTCTCTGTAGAGCAGCATGGGTGAAGCAGCCTGTAGCTAAAATAGCTGCCTAGGGCACACAGGGAGAATTTCACCGTTGTCCTGGAATTTGGCCACCATCCTCCTCTCACTCACCACCTCCAAGGTGTCCAGCCCCCCCCCCCCGCTCACCAGCACGGATCCAGTCCTGCTGATCAGTTTGTTCAGCCTCTTCCTTTCCAACCCTGCAATGCTCCCGCCCCAGTAGACGACCACGTAGGAGATGACTGATGGCTCCACTGCATCATGGAGTGACGTCAGATGTGGTCCCTTGATGTCAGAGGACCTTAGGTGGAGTCAACTCTGACTCTTCCTGTTGTCTGTCCAGTCCAGCTTATTGTTGAGATGAACACCCAGGTATCTATAGGACTGGACAGCCCAATGTCCATCCCCTGGATACTCATTAGACTGACTGATGGCAGCTCTGCCCTGTGAAAGTCCACCACCAGCTCCCTGGTCTTTTTAGCATAACGAACATATCTTGAGCTGGAGCCAGTTTCACTGGCACCACCCTGCAGTGTCATTGGTGAGTCCTCTGTATTCGCTCTGATCAAAACCAGTGATTCAGCTTACAATCGCTGTGTCACCTGAGAATTTTTGGATGTGAAAATTGTCTGTCTTGTGTGCAAAATCTAACAGTATATAAAGTGAACAGAGCGCACAGTTGGTCTTCACAGGCCTTGATGACTGGAGTTGATGCCATCTGGTCCAGCTGCCTTCCTCACCCTGGTCTTCCTCAGCTCTTTTCTCAGCTGCTTAGTTGAAATGACAGGAAGGGGGAGCGAGGTGAGGTAGTCAATTGATTTATTGGTGCGTAGTCAGTACAGGATGTGATAACTTCCTTGCTAAAGAAAATTTGGTCAGATGCTTGGACGATTTAGGCTACTGCATAATTAATAATGGTTTTAGTGTTTTACTGAAAGACTTTTAAAACCTGGTGTCCAAGGCGTTATGAATGGAGCTCAGTTATTTTGGGTGTCTGTATGGTCACCAGGAGTAGATATTAACTTCTAGGCACCTAAAAATATTACATTCATTTAACAGACTGGGTCTGCTTACATGGCTATAACATTGCTTGACAGCCCCCATACCGTTCTGGGGTCTGATTCTGAAACACTCATTCCATTTTCTCGGCCACACTGCAGGCTCAGCGCATGTATACACGGAGTATGATTTGTGTACTTTCATTAGAGAAATGGCAGGAAGTTTCCCACAGGGACAGTAATTATGTGACTTGGAATAGAATGCCTCGGTGCCTAAAAGCCATTTGGAGCTGACCGTACCTCTGCCTCTGAGCCATTTCTGACAAGCCTGCAGAGAATACGACTACCTCGCTCTCCTGAAACAGCAACAGACCCCTGGATGGAAACGAACTTCCCAAGGTGAAAAGGAGTGCAGTCTTCATTCTTATAATGCACTTTTGGTATATTTCTCTATCTTTTCTTATATGAAGTCCCGTCTCTCTCAATCTGCCACATATGTATATTTACATTTTCATACAAATTTGTCATTATTTCTGAAAACTAAAATCTATATTTACTTGTGAAATGCATATGTCCTGATACATCACTTTAATCCAGAAATAACATATTGGAAAAATCCATGTAGATATTCTCTGAAATGCATTTTTAAATAAACCTCAAAATCAAAAAAGTATATCTGGTACACATCTGCCAGAGATTATAACACATTAGGGACATTTTTACCATTATGTCATGTGCTTTCATCAGTTTCATTCTTTTCATTTGCTATATGTTGCTTGCTTGTGAGGATCCTGAGAAGGATTACAGTTATCAGGCTAAGGCCTCTAAACAACATTTACCAAAATGTTTCCTAGTGGAGCCCCCATTTAAAGTAAGGCAGAGAACACACACTTTCATGACTGATCTGGAAGGTTCTTCAGAATCTGTCATCACAGCTTCCGAACATCCACAGCTCCTTTTGTTTTACTTAGGTGCAAATTTTCGGTGGGTAAACCTGGCTGCTTGTTCCAACATAGTCTAGCTTGTAGAATTTGGTTCCTTTGGTTGTCCACATGGATGATATACAAAAGCTCAACAAAAAGTCAAGCTGTTTGTGTTGCACGTCTATTTGGCTTATATGGTCTGTAATATAAGGAGAAGAGATGTGCCCTGGATTTGCCAGGCCTCTGGCAATTTGTGCCAGTTGATGACTGTCCATTTGTTGCTCTCAGGAAACAGGAGGCTAAAGTGAGGCCCCCGGTCTCGTGGGTTACAGGGTGCAGGGTGTGTCCCTCTGCGTTTGTGGAATGGAGGCAGGAAGTCTTGATTATCCGTGCAGCACTACGCCTCAGTGAGCCAGATTTGGCCTAAACGGGGGTTAAAGGCAATTTGACCTGACGGACAGAGAGACGTAGCTGAAAGTAGCCATGTTTGCTGTAACGTCTTTGATTTGTCAGCCAGCTTGGTGCAGCTGTGAGATGCTGTACTTTTAAAGTTGAGATGCCGGTGGATGCGCTTTCAGAATCTGAGGCTTTGAGTGAGAGAGATAAAAGTGGGGGCATTGTTAAGGCCTCACAGTTGTTTTGTCATTCATGAGGCTCTGCAGCTAAGCAGCTAAGACATCTCTTAACACATAAAAAGCTGTGCAGATAGCCTTAAGCAACTGCACCGCAAACAATGTGTTTTATTGTGGAGGGCAATTCGCGGTCATTTAAATATGTGTAAAGACTGGTCAGAGGTTTGCATATTCTCTGTCTTGGTAAGCAACCAATCACTGGTGCAGAGGCTGTGAATTAAGAGCTTTTATCGCACAAGGGAATGCTCTTCGGTGTAATTTACATTTTTGGAGTTTCTTTTATTTGATATTTTGTTCCCATGTGTTTCCTTAATTCATGTTTAATGTAGAGTTTCTTCACATGTTTGTATTTACAGGAAGCATGCAAGTTGTAGCAAATGTAAGCAATATTTTCTGGTTTAAGGTCTGTGTGTATAGCACAGGAATTATATGTGTGGTATAGCAGATTAACATACACATACACCTCATCCAGGTATATTATTTGGAAAATGGCTGTGTTTATCATCTGGCATTTGTTACCTTTGGTTCTTTGTGAGGTATGCTGTATCATTACTCTTGTTTTTATTTTTATTTTTTAAATATCCTAGCATTTTTGGCTGACCTGTGGAGGCATGGGGAAAAAGAGATACCTAAAATATATGGATAGTGGTGAAAGTAGCATACAGACTTGCTCTGTCTTCTTGTTTGTTTATCTGAGAGAGGGAAGTTGTTATCTAGCCAATAGCTGTAGAGGTAAACAGCTTTGATATCATACTTCTAGGGGGAGAAATGGCAGGAATTAGGCTACACCATAAAAGTATACCATCACTGGCTCCACGAGTGTCTAGATAGCTTATAAGATATAATATTGTAATTACACTAACTCATCTGTGTTAGAGGGTTTGAAAATGGATTAATAGACTGATTTAGAGATAATGTTCACCTTAGAGATATGGAGTTTATGACCAACAGACTTTCGGTAATGTTTATTGTTCTTAAACACTTTGTTTAGGGTACTTGTGCTGTACAACAAATTTCAGCTTAGCAAACCCATCAGCATCTTCATGGCAGTAAATACTATACTAGCTTCACACTATGACAATCTTGAAAGCTGCTTAGCCTAATAGCAGCCCAACTGGTTCTCAGGTTACCTCAACAAAGACAACAAGTCCCTCCCTATCTA